GGACCCCCGCTTCGATGGCGACACCCTCTTTCTGGACCCATCTTGCCCCTCGAATCACCTGCCTACGGATGCTCTACTCCGAGATCATTTTCGGCAGTGTTTGCTGGCTAATGTTCGTGGCCCTTGTGAGAGGGACAGTGCAGAGTTTGATCGTGATGTGCAGGAAGGGGACGAGGACCTCGCGTTGGAAGAGTGGAATAGGTCTACCGTAAGCGGTAAGAGCTGGGCCGAGATCAAGTTGGCCAACCGGCTGCTATGATGTGCGATGGAATTTAGAAGTAGCTTGTGACAATCAGACTGAGACAACGCCCTGGCATCCTTGACTGCACCACGTCCGCGCCTTCTAAAGTATTTTATTCAATTTACCTTTTTTTGTTGAGGTAGGACAGAATGACATACCAGGCATCGTTTCCAGTCGTCAAACGGACAGAGTCCGTGGGCTTAACGCGGACTTCCCGCGACTGCACGCGCATACGCCGAAGAAAGGCTAAGGTCCGAAGCGGCCAACTCGACGGCGCAAGGAGTACGTCGTGTGTACTGCCGCGGCGCGCCTTTGCAGCGCGACACGAAGTCAAAAATTCTGGCGCGGCATATGCAGGGTGGAGGAAACAACTACGTGGAGACGTCGCGAGTAACATATACGTAGATGACCTGGTGGCGGTAGAGGCCGTAATGCAAGCTATCGTGCACCGAATGCGAGTGGGCGGGAACAGTGAGATGAGCACGAGATCCAGAGATAGCTGAGAGGATGACATAGGGACGCCGTCTTCGTCAGCCGACGTCGTATGCGGCTGATTCGGAGGCTTAGTTGGAATAGTAACTGTCGAGGGGAAATCATTATTGCGTGTCTACTGTACTGTCTCTACATGGTCAAAAGTGAGAGACACAACGGCAGGGGTGACAAAGACCGAAAAGGTTTCAAACCCTCAGCCGACGTCGCTTCAAACGATGCACAAGCACCACCCTGTCGTAAGGGCTGATAGTTTTACACTCGTGGACAAGGTATTGCCATTCGTCAGGCGAAAAAGTAGCAAGTGATTCTAGCTTCTGAAGATCAGTCACACCAACAGCGACAAAGAAGTCAAAGAGGTGGCTGGCTTCTATCTCGCCGAGAAACTCCTGCAGCTCGCAAATAGCGTTAGATGTTGCAGCAGGCATGATGTATCTAGGCGCATGCTGGACCGGCAAAGGGACGGGGGTGGCAAAGGTGCTGGAGCTGCTATTGGCAGCAGCCTTGTTATCAAGAGTGGCAGCAGAATGAGCGTGCGTCGCGTCAGACTGGACACAGGTAGCTGCCTGCTTGATGTAGTAGATGATGGCAGAGTTATAGGGGGTATGGCAATGGTCACCTTCGCTCCTCTCGCCGGAGCCTTATACGCCGGTGCTGTGACAGCGTTAGGCTTACTAGCTGCATTTGTGCCGGGAGTGGCAGCAGGACGAAGGTATGAAACAGCAGGCTTGGAAACAGAAGCTGCCTTCTTTGCTAGTCCACTAGTGATCGGTTCGGCCGCGTCGACCTCCATATTGTTTTGATGTATCGTTTGATGTCGTTTGTCCCGTCGTATGGGAGTGCCTCCTCAGAGATCTTAGCGCAGTTCGAGTTTGTCTGGCATTGGAGTCGACCGTCTTGTCTTTACTTGAGTGCGTGTCCATCGACCGAGACGTCGGAGTGCAGCTGTTGGGCGATGCAGTCTTGGACGACGCCGTGACCACCGCTGTAGAAGGGTCCTCAGGGTGAAGGTGATGCGTATGCCCAAAGGACTCAGACATTTCGTCTGATCAAGCAGTCAGCATGTTATGGCAGAGAGTTAAAAATTGAGTACTACTCACTATTGGCTTTTCTTTTGCGAGAAGGGGTAGCAGTCGCGTTGAGCTGCTTCGCGCCTCCATTGAGCTTTTCTCGGGAGCGAGTCCCCGGCCGATGATTTTGCGCTCTTCCAGGACTTTTGCTCCTGTCCCTATCCTTGCTTCCATCTTCATCCTCAGTGCTATCCTTGTCATCGCCACCTGTGCTGCTCTCCTGACTACTACTAGAGCTGCCGTCCTTTACGCCGCCTGCATTGTCGCCCTCTTCTTCCTCACTACTGCTGCAGTTGTTCCTACTTTCGCCCGAGTTGCCCTCGTCAACATGGTCATCTGTGTCTTGGCAATTTGGTTCCTCCACCTTCTCAGTAACACTCCGTCAGTTTGCTCGAGTTCATTCAACCAGTTTGTACAGATTGAGTAGCTTACCTCAATGCCTTCATCACCGTTAATATTCGTCTGTGCTATCGGCGTCTGCTTCTTTGCCTTTTTGGTCTGCTCCCTCTTTCTCTTGTCGTCAGCCTCATGGGCGCGTTTCATAGCCATGTGCCAAACCCAGCATTGTTGGTACAGCCAAGGAAGCTCTCTGAGAGCCTACCCCCAAAAGGTCA